TCCAAGAGAGTAAAAACATGATGTATTTCAAGTCAGATCAAGCTGGAGCTCCCATTACTTTGCCAATGGCACTTTTTTGTACTGTTGTCTGGAATGTTTCCATTAATTTCCAATAATTTGATTTCCAATAATTTGAATTATTCCATTGCCATTTCCTTATCATCTCTGATCTGGACTTGCCTGGGAACCAGTTTCTCTCATTGAGCGTCTCTTGACTGTGTCCGATCACTGGCCGATTCTTACATGAGGGTCATTCACTCACAAAACTCTTGTTGAACTTGCGTTTTGTAGGAGCCAAAGGCAGGCTGCCCCCAAATGTGCCACTTTGGCAAGTGGATTATTTTTTTTTTAATAAAAGTGACTTAAGAAGGTATCAGTGTGTAAGGATACTCAGACCATCTTCTGTTGCCCTGAAAGCAGGAAATAAGTCTCCCCATGTAAGGTACCTGCCCTCTACCAGGAGATAGACATCCTTATCACCAGATATAGAAAATGTCAAGCCATGAAGTTTGTAAAAACAATCCTTGTTACTTTTTACTAATTTACTACCCCAGCCCAATCCTGTTTAGAATTCCTTACTAATTGTAGCCCCCAAAGTTAAATTTTCTCTGTCCTATCAATTCCTCACTGATTTATTGTCTCTCTGTCTAAAAAATATAAAAACTGCCTGCCTTGGTCATTTCTTTAGGTCTCAGTTTAATATTGGGCTTTATTTATTATGCATATATTATAAAATTTTGTGGTTTTTTTCTCTTGTTAATCTGTCTTAAGTAAATTTAATTATCAGTCCAGGTAAAAGACCTTGAAGGGTAGAGGGAAAAGTATTCCTTCCCTTCAATTTCATGTCAAGCACAGTTCTTGGCACTGGGGATACATCAGTAAAGAAAACAGGCAAGAGGAGGAACAAGATGGTGGAGGAGTAGGAGACCTAAATTTCGTCTGGTCCCAGGAATTCAGCTAGATAGGTATCAAACCATTCTGAACACCTACAAACCCAACAGGAGATCGAAGAAAAGAATAGCAGCAACTTTATGAACAGAAAAGCCACCACTTTCTGGAAGGTAGGACATGTGGAAAAGTGAATCCAAGGCAATATATGGGAAGATAGACTGAGGGGGGAGGGAGGCTTGGTCAACCAGCTACCAGCAAGTGATAGAGCAGTGGAGCAGAAAATTAGAACTTTTTAGAAGTCCGCTCCACTGAGGGACGTCACTCCGGTGGCTAAGCGTGGGGGTGGAACCCTCTTTGGGACAGTGTGGTCTCAGGACCCTCAGGGTCACAGAAAGAATGAGGGTGCTTGAGTGTGGCAGAACTCCCAGGTTTCAGAGCAGGGAAGCCAGCTGCAAAGACGGAGCTGAGGAGTGGGCTCTCAGCCTGGGTTTGCCATAAACCTGATCCACAGGAGAGTCAGGCCACTACTCTTCCAGCAGGAACCCAACAAGTGGCAGATCCGGGGAGACTCCTCTTCTTCCCCAGGAGGAGCAGTGTGGGAATGCACAACAGGAATCTGCTGGGTTTGGAGACTCCAAATGGGGTCTTGTGCCAGAGATAGAAATGCTTGGTCACAGGCCGGGTGAGCACAGAGTGCGGCAAGAGACCGGGGAGATGGGAGTGATTGACTGCTTTTCTCTGGGGGCTCACTGAGGAGTGGGGCCCCAAGTTCTTGGCTCCTCTGGGGCAGAGTTTGGGAGGCCGCCATTTTCTTTCTCATCCTCCAGAGCTATATGGAAAGCTTTCAGGGGACAAAAGCTAACGAGAACAAACCCGAGCAGATTACCTAGCCTGGTCCCTGATGAGGGCAGTGCAACGCCGCCTCCGGCAAAGACATCTGAGAACCACTGCAACAGGCCTCTCCCCCAGAAGATCAGCAAGAACATCCAGCCAAGACCAAGTTTACCGATTAATGAGAATTTCAAAACCCCAGCTCTAGGAGAATACAGCATATAGAATTCATGGCTTTTTTCCCATGATGCTTTAGTCTTTCAAAGATAATTTTTTTAATTTTATTTTTTTCTTTTTCTGTTTTTTTAGTTGAATTTTTCTTCTTTCCTTTTTCAACCAACATCTTATCCTTTTTTAAGATCTTTTTTAATTTTTCATTTTTACAGTCATATTCCATCCCTTCATCGTATTTACCCTTATTTTCATATAAGCTTTTCTTTCTTTAAAATTTTGGTGGGCGGGGCGCCTGGGTGGCTCAGATGGTTAAGCGTCTGCCTTCGGCTCAGGTCATGATCCCAGGGTCCTGGGATCGAGTCCCGCATCAGGCTCCCTGCTCAGTGGAGAGCTTGCTTCTCCCTCTCCCACTCCCCCTGCTTGTGTCCCCTCTCTCGCTGTGTCTCTGTCAAATAAATAAAATCTTTAAAAAAAAAAAATGTTTTATGTTTTAATGTATAGGTCTTTCACATCTCTTGTCAAATTTATTCCTAAGATTTTGATAATTTCTGACATTATCATAAAATGCAATGTTTCTTAGTATTGATTTCTGATTGTGCAAAGTAAGTATATAGAAATAGATGTGATTAAGTGATTTAGTGAATATGTTTTGAACATTATCATTAATTTTATTGTTTTTATATTACAAAAACAATATTTGCAAAAATACTACATAGTTTAGAAAAATGTTTGACAATGGACTCACTGTACTTATTTTGTAATTTGCTTTTTCCCTTTCAAATATCTAAGATATCTTTTCATGTTGACTTATACACTTTTTTTTATTGTGTTATGTTAACCACCACACATTACATCTTTAGTTTCTGATGTAGTGTTCCATGATTCATTGTTTGTGCATAACACCCAGTGCTCCATTCAATACGTGCCCTCTTTAATACCCATCACCAGGCTAACCCATCCCCCACCCCCCTGCCCTCTAGAACCCTCAGTTTGTTTCTTAGAGTCCATCATCTCTCATGGTTCGTCTCCCCCTCTGATTTCCCCCTCTTCATTTTTCCCTTCCTGCTATCTTTTTTTTTTTTTTTAACATATAATATTGTTTCAGAGGTACAGGTCTGTGATTCAACAGTCTTGCACACTTCACAGCGCTCACCATAGCACATACCCTCCCCAATGTCTATCACCCAGCCACCCCATCCCTCCCACCCCCACCACTCCAGCAACCCTCAGTTTGTTTCCTGAGATTAAGAATTCCTCATATCAGTGAGATCATATGATGCATGTCTTTCTCTGATTGACTTATTTCACTCAGCATAATACCCTCCAGTTCCATCCACGTCGTTCCAAATGGCAAGATTTCATTCCTTTTGATGGCTGCATAATATTCCATTATACAGAGACTTCTGTGTGATATTTCATTCTGTATATTGTACTTTGCTTATCTGAGCTTCCACTGGATGGGACATATGAACTGTTTCCAATTAAAATGTTAAACTTAAAAAAAAAAAAGAAATACATGTGAGTGTTTTAATATTAATTTTGTATCCTACAACCATGCTAAACTCACATATTCATCCCGATAGACACTACCAGATTTTCCACAAGTTGTCTCTGAATATAGTTGTAATCCTTCCTCTCTCCTGCCTTTTTTCTGTCCTATTGCACCGGCTAGAACCTCCAGTAAAATGTTCAGAAGTAATGACAGTGGACATCTTTACATTGGACCTATTAGGAAGACATTCACCATGATGTTTGCTGGAGTTTTTTTGTTGTTGTTGTAGATGTGGTTTATCAAACCGAGGAAATTCCTTTTAGATTCTAATTCGCATGTTATAATTCATTCATGCATTTATTTTTTTGAGATACTTAACTTTAAGTCATGTTACTGGCCATACCTTCAGCTTAATGGGAGAGGCAGAGTTGAATATGAGACCAAAAAATTTGCTTAGAGTTTTTATCACAAATTAGCGTTGAATTGTTAAATGCACTTTCTTCATCTATTAATCACACGGTTTTCCTCCTGTATTAATATGGCAAATTACATTAGTTGACTTTCAAACGTTAAACCTACTTTGCATTCTTGGGATAAACCCTATTTGGTTAAGATGTATTATCCTCTTTATAGAACTTGTTGGATTTAATTTACTAAAATTTTGTTAAGAATTTTTGTGTTGAGGGCGCCTGGGTGGCTCAGTTGGTTAAGCGACTGCCTTTGGCTCAGGTCATGATCCTGGAGTCCCGGGATCGAGTCCCGCATCGGGCTCCCTGCTTGGCAGGGGGTCTGCTTTTCCCTCTGACCCTCTTCCCTCTTGTGCTGTCTCTCATTCTCTCTCTCAAATAAATAAATAAAATCTTTAAAAAAAAAAAAAAGGATTTTTGTGTTGAGATTTATGAGGGATAAGTATCGAATTTTCCCTTCTTCCAGTGTCTTCGTTTGGTTTTGGGATCAAGGCAATGTAGGCCTCATTGATGGAGGGGAAAATATTCTTTCCTCTTTAATTTCCTGAAAGAGGTTATGTAGAATCGGTATTATGTCTTTCTTGAATATGTGGTTGCGTTTACCACTAAAGTAATCTAGGTCTAGAGTAGTCTTTGTGAGATTCAATTTCTTTCATAAGTAGAGCTATTTAGGTTTTCTATTTCTTCTTGAGTGAACTAAAATAATTTGGATCTTCCAAAGAATTTGTGTTCATCTAAATTGTCCAATTTATTATAAGTTGCTCATAATATTCTTTCTGTTGTTTTAATAACTATAGAATCTATAGTGGTTATACCTCTCATTCCTGACACTGGCCATTTGTTTCTTTCTTTTGCTCCTGATCAATCCAGTTAGAGGTTTATGAATTTTTTTTTTTTTTGAGCTTCTCAAAGACTCAGCTTTTGGTTTAAATTTTCTCTATTATTTTTCTCTCTCCAATGTCATAGATTTCTGCTCTACCTTTGTTATTTCCCTTCTTCTGCTTATACTTTTATTCGCTCTTCTTTTTCTAATTTCTTAAAGTGGAAGCTGAAGTCACTGATTCAACTCCTTTCATCTAACACAGACATTTAGTACTATAAATGTCACTCTATACACTGCTTTAGTTGCATCACAAGATACAAGGTCAACACACAAAAATCAATTGTATTTCTATATATCAGCAGTGAACAACTGGGAGCCAAAATTAGAAAAACAATACCATTTACAGTAACTCCAAGAAAATAAAATACTTAGCTATAAGTCCAACAAAACTTGTACAGGATCTGGATGCTGAGACTATGAAATGCTGATGGCAGAAGCCAGAGATGCAAATAAATGGAGAGACAAGTCATATGATGGTTTAGGAGACTCACCATCATATGTGAGTTCTCTTCAAACTTATCTATAGATTTAATGTAATTCCAATCAAAATCCCAGCAACATTTTTGTATAAATAAGCTCAGCCTGAAATTTAGATGGAGAGACAAAATTGACAGAAAAGTCAAAATAATTCTGAAAAGGAAGAATAAAACTAGAGGAACCATACGAACAGATTTTTAAGATGGATACAAGATACAGTAACTTTGACGATGTGGTATTGGTAACAGGAGAGACTCCAAGATCAATGGAAGAGAATACAAAGTCCAGACATTGACCCATACAAATAGGGCTAATTGATTCTTGACAAAGATGCAAAAGAAATTCAGTGGGAAACAAACAGTCTTTTCAACAAAATGGTCCTGGAACAACTGGACATACTGCCCCCCAAAACCAAATAAACCAAAAACAGAAACCTCACACTTTAAAAAAAACTAACTCAAAGTAGATCATAAACCTAAATGTAATATTTGTAAAACTATAAAACAGAAGAAAACATAAGGGGAAAGCTTTGAGAACTGGGGCTAAACAAAGATGACTGAGACGTGACACCAAAAAAGTACAGTCCATAAAGGAAAAAAAATTGATCAATTCTAGGTAAAGACACCCTCGCCAATGGACTCCACACAAGTTTCTAGTCCAAGAGCATATGGAACCAATTTGAATTGTGCACCATATTTGAATGAACCATCAAATTTTTTTTTAATGGGTGGATTCCTCTAAAACTTCAGTCTGTTGTGTATGTTCACTATGTCCTCATTTTTCAAGCACTCTTGAATTTAGCCTTTATTTTTGTCCTAAAGCAGGGGTCAGCAAACTTCCTGTAAAGGGTCACCGTATCTTCAGCTTTGTGGGCCATAAGGCCTCTGCTGCAACTACTTAACTCTGCCCTCAGCGGAGCAGCCAGAGAAAACAGGTTATTTGTTACAAAAACTGACTGAGGTTTCATTTGGCCCCCGAGGCCACAGTTCACCAACCCCTGTTCTAGGGGTGGGGCCGCAGATGAGAAGGAGCTGGCCGCTGCAGCTAAGGGACAGCCCCAGAGCCACTAAGTTCTTGACACTAAGCATTTAATGAGCAGCTGCCTGGACTTGTTGGAGAAACATCTCAACTGCTTGCAAGCACCGAACCGGACATAGTTTCAGGAGACATCTTTCTAATCAGAGCTCCTGCTTTAGCTGTGTGCACACCTTGTCAGGTCCTTTGACCATCCGTGTGGCAAGGGCGGAGCCCGGGGGGCTGAGGGACTGTCCTAGGTGGCACACCTGTGTCAAGAGCCCAGTCCTCCTGACCTCAACCCCATGTCTTTCCCACTGAACAAGCCCCCCTTTCCAAACAGGGAGCTCTCCAGAAAATCAGAAAGTAGCTTCACCTGCCCCATCGTGCAAGTAACTGACCTGTGTCTTAGCATTGCTCAAGGACAGGATCAGAATCACCCACTGCATCAGCATCTTGACGTGGGACCCAAGTGACCTAGAAGTACACCCCAGGAAAAGGCAAAGACCCTTGGTCCCCCCCGCCCATCAGTGGCCTGAGACATGTGGCTGCAGGGCCAGGGTCCAGGGCACTCTGCCAAGGCCCCCCCATCTCCACAATACCCACAGCAGGCTTGAAGGAACAGACTTTATTAATCTAGCTCTCGAACACTAGAGGCTAAAATTCTGCTGAATTATAACAATCTATTTACAGAGTGCTGTCTGCAGGCCAGGTGGGGCTGGGCTGGTTCTCCCCCAACCACCCACCGAGTGCAGCCTCCAAAAAGGCCTGGGCCACGTTCTACCTGCAGCCCACAGAAGACATTTATATACACATGGCAAAGGCCCAGAGACAGAACACCAGGCAGGATGGCACCAGAGAGGCGGACAGATAGACACACACAGGGGCTGAGACTGCTGAGAAGGCCTGGGGGCCTCAGTACTTTTTCAGGCTGTAGGCCAGGCTGCTGGGGACCCTGGCGCCCAGCAGGGGCGGCGAGTTCCAGACAGCAGAGCTGGTGCGCTTGTGGTAGCGGGGCTTGCTCTTCTTAAAGATGTCCTCCAAGTCCAGTGGGAGAATGGTTCCAAAGAGCTCGAGCAGGTTCGGGGGGTGGTAGTACTGGTGGATGATGGCCTGGCTTAGCTGAGTGCCTGTGGGGGACACGGAGGGTCAGGTCACTGCCTTGGGGCTCCTCATGAGCCTCCCCATCCCCCGGCCCCTTATCACCCTCTCCACCCCAGCATGCCCCCACCTCTGCCACACGAGCTCCTCTCCCAGAGCCCTCGTCCCTAGAAATGCTTTTCCTGACTGTTCCCACTGCCATCCTCCGGCAGCTCTGCCTGAACGTGGGTCCTCAGGCGCTCGCGTAAGCCGGGCCCTGGGTGGGGCCCTCACTGCCTGACCTCGTTATCCCAACCACCAAGGAAGCAGCTCCTTTATTCTCCCCGTTTCATAACGGTGAGACGTGCCCAGAGGCACATGGCTAGTGACTGGGGGAGCTGGGGTCTGGAGACCAGTCTAGCTCCAGAACGTAAGCATACATTGCCGTTCTTGACTGCTATGCTCGGCTGCTTCTCTCCTCAGCCCCCAGGTCCCGTGGTGCAGGGTGCTTTCCGAGGGGGCCCCTGGGCCAAGGCTGTGGGTGGCACACAGCCCTGTCAACAAGGCTTTAGGAGGACCCTGGGGGGTCAGGAGGTGGAAAATGTGCCTGCCACTTACAAACACTAACTCACTTCATCCTAAATAACCCTCCTCAGCTGGTATCACCCCCATTTCACAGATGAGAAAACTGAGCCAGTTTAAGTAAGCTGGCGAAGGTCAACCACCATTAGGTGGCTCTGCCAGCCATCTGGCTCCTCGGCCATGCTCACCCCTGCCTGCTGCCACCTCCCAAATGACCTGATGTCAGAAGTTAGGGAGACTAAATCAGATTCTGGCTAACATGGAGTTCAAATGAGGTGACACCGAAGCAAGTTGTCTTCTGTAGAGAGCTGACCCCCGACAGGGCTCTGGGCCCTTCTCTCTGGAGAGTGAGACTGCATCCCACCCTGACCCCCAGCTCAGCACACTCTATAAAGTGCCCACGGTATGCACGGGCCCCACCCCTTTCCCAGTAGGCCCTGCGCCCTGGTCGGCGGTGGCCTGGTCACCCTCACCCCCACTCCTGATTAGACACTGGGGCTTGTAAACTCTGGGGTCAAATCCTGCTCAAGTGCCCCTGCCGTGGGCCTTCCCCGGCTGCCTGGAACCCCCAGCTCCAGCTCGTGGGGTGCTGTCTAGAATCTGTTACCACTCTTGGCGCTATTCCGACCCTAAGCTGCTTCTCTGGGTCCCACTCTCAGCTGGCCCATTGGGTGGGGTTCCAAGGAGGGGCCTAGAGCCCGAGCTAGAACAGCCTGCAGCCAGCCACAATTTAGCTCATTTGTTGAGAACAGAGGTGCCCAACACTGTCGATCTGGTCCTCAGATGAGCCCACTGGCCATAGGGTGCCCACCCCTCCCTGGGCACATCCCAAGGCCCAATGCAGGCTTGTTGGGCCAATGCTTCAATCTGCCAGCCCGTGGGTACAACAGCCTCCTGACACCCACAGCTGCGAGCCGCTACCTCCAGGTCCTAGATGTCACAAGTGAGGACCCAGGTCTCCCAGGGAACTCTGGGCCCTGCTTACCTCTGGCCCAGGTGGGGATGGGCTTCCGGGGATGGGCCTCGTCATCGGTGGAGTCATCGCTATTCAGATCCATCCCGTAGTTATCTGGGTTGATCTTGGGGGGGGCCCTGTGGCCCTGTGGCGTCATCTGATAGGAGGTACAAGCTGGAGACTGGAGAAGACAAACATGGCCATCAGCTCCCCTCCCCCGCATTCCTGCATCTCTCACCGCTAAGGAGTGCTGGGGCTCTAGGCAGCACCATGGGGAATAAAAAGGGCTCAGGGGTTCGCTTTTTAATTTAAAAAAGTCACACCACATACATGACTGTATCTTCCTTTTTCAAGTTGAAGTGTTTTGCAAACGTTCTTTCTGGTCAGTGTGTCCCCTTTCCAACAGCCCAGGATACTCCCCTGGGAACCCCATGATTGGTACCTTTTTTTAACCACCTGTTATAAACGAACATTTGGCTCATTTCATTATCATAAACTATACTGCAATGAAAACACATTTTTGTTTATAAGAATATTAAGCTGTTATCAGGACTTGTTAAAGAAATTCTGGTTCAAATTCCGGCGCCTGGGTGGCTCAGTCAGTTGAGTGTCTGACTCTTGATTTCAGCTTAAGTCATTATCTCAGGGTCCTGAAATCGAGCCTCGCATCAGGCTCCGCGCTCAGCACACAGTCTGCCTGAGATGCTCTCTCTCCCTCTCCCTCCCCACCTGCTCGCACTCTAAACAAATAAATAAAATATTAAAAAAAAAAAAAAATTCTGGTACAAGTAACTGGTACACAGATGTCAAATAGCAGATTTACAAGTGCTGAAACACAAAGATGTCTACAACGTACTAAATGAAACGGGGGAAAAAAGGAGGAAAAAATTCAAATGGCCAAATTGGTATGTGTTATAGGCTAAATGCTGTTTGTGCCCCCTACACCCCCCAAATTCTTCTGTTAAATCCTCACCCCCAGTGTGATGGTATTGAGAGGTGGGGCCTTTGGAGGTGATTAGGTCACGAGAGTGGAGGCCGCATGAGTGAGATCAGTGCCTTTCGAACACAGTCCCCAGAGAGCCCCCCTCCCCCTCGGCCATGTGAGGACATGGATAGAAGACCACCGTCTGTGAGCCAGGAAGAGGACGCTCTCCGGACGCTGTATCTGCTGGCACCTTGGCCTTGGACGTCCGGCCTCCAGAACTGTTGCTGAAGCCACCCAGCGTGGCAGTTTGTGACAGGAGCCTGAGCAGACTAAGACAGTATGTACGGCGGTGCCCGCTGAAAACTCTGCGTGTGTGCGTGTGAGAGTGTGAGAAAATGAGTGTACGTGTGCGAGAGTGCGTGTGAGTGTGATAGAATGAGTATATGTGAGTGTGCGTGAGAATGAGTGTATATGTGTGCGAGTGTATGAGTGTGTATGTGTGCGAGCGAGTGAGAGAATGAGTGTGGATATGTGTGCGAGTGTGCGTGAGAGTGTGATAGAATGAGTGTGTGCGAGTGTGTGCATGAGTGAGAATGAGTGTATATGTGTGCGAGTGTATGAGTGTGTATGTATGCAAGTGTGTGCGTGCGACAGTGTGATAGAATGAGTGTGTTGTGCATGTGAGAGTGTGAGAATGAGTGTGTGCGAGTGTGCGTGTGTGCATGAATGAGAATGAGTGTATGTGTACGCGTGTATGAGTGTGTATGTGTGCGAGTGTGTGCGTGCGAGAGTGAGAGAATGAGTGTGTGTATGTGTGAGTGTGTGCGTGTGAGAGAATGAGTGTATATGTGTGTGAGTGTATGAGTGTGTATGTGTGCGAGCGAGTGAGAGAATGAGTGTGTGTATATGTGTGCGAGAGTGTGTGCGTGTGTGATAGAATGAGTGTGTGCGAGTGTGCGTGAGAATGAGTGTATATGTGTGCGAGTGTATGAGTGTGTATGTGTGCGAGCGAGATAATGAGTGTGTATGTGTGTGTGCGTGTGACAGAATGAGTGTATATGTGTGCGAGAGTGTGTGCGTGTGTAGAGGTTTATGTGTGCAAACTATAGAAAGACACCAGACTTGGAGTTCTCCTGTAAGGGTGCCTTTCTTTCACTTTATACTCTTTAAAAAAGTTTAGTTTCTTCTTCTTGTTCTTTTTTAACAACAAACTCTACTTTTAAGAGTAAGAAAACACACATATGCAAAATGGTAAAAACAGCTGGGCCCACCGCATCCTTCCTATTTCCTGTGGTCCTAGGACGCGGTCCGCACCTCCAGCCACCGGGAAGGGACGAGCCAGAGCCCGGCGACGCGACGGGGTGGGGGGCGGGGCTCACCTGCGCGTCCGGGGTCGCAGTCAGGCCTTTGCTGGCGGCCGCCGCCTCCCTGGCTCTCCTCTGCTGCTCCTCGGCCAGGCGCTGCTGCTCCTCCTGGGAGCCAGCGGCGGGGCGTTAGAGACCGTGCGGGTGCGGCCCGCCGCTCGGGCCACCCCCAGCAGCAGGGCAGCGAGGCAGCGCCGCAGCCCCCAGGGGAGCCCCGGCCCGCTCCCCTTTACCTTCTTCTTCTTCTCCTCCAGGTCCCTCTGCAGCCGCTCCTTGTGTAGCCGCAGGGCCTTCTCCCGCTCCCTCTCCTGCAGCTCCCTGAGGACCCGGCAAGGGCCTGTCAGGGCAGGAGGCCGCGCCGGGCCCAGTCCCCGACCAGAGAAGAGCCCGTCCTTTCGCACACCCCCAGGTGAGGCGGGGGAGCCGCCTCCCTTCCCCAGGGCCCCGGGGAGGCGGCGCCAGGACGCCAGGACGCCACGCCGGCCGGCTGGGGCGCGGGCCCCTCACCTCTCAGCCCGGAGCCGCTCCTGCTCCTCCTCCTTCTTCTTCTGCAGCAGCTCTTGGTGCCGCCGCTCTTCCTCCTCCTGGTGAACAGACAGCAAGGTCGGGGGCCTCGGGCCAGCACTGGGCTGGCAACGTGAGAGGCGGAGGTCCGGGAAGGAGCGCGGACAGCGCGGCCCGACAGCCTGCTCCCCTCCCAGCGGGGACACCCCGGGCAAAGCTCCACGAGAATCACCGCGGACAACTGCTTTTCATTCAGCAGCAGAGCCAGGACTTAAGGGGTGACGCTGGAGCCAGACTCTCCGGCTGTGTGACCCCGGCCCAGGGGCTTAAGCTCTCTGGCCCCGCTTTCCTCACTGATAAAGCGGGAACAACAGGAATACCTACAACCTCACAAAGCTGCGGAGTTCACACAGCGGACATACTGCGAGCAGCGTCGGGCGCTGGCAAATACTAACTAAACTTCAGTTACTGGGACTTATAACCCCCTAGTGACAGATCTGTGTTCCCTACTGTCCTAAGCCTGACAGTTCCCAGGAAGAAGCAAACCCCTACTCTCCGAGGCAAAACGTTCAGTCCTCACACCAACCCCATCAAGCAGATACCACTGGTACCTGAAGGAACGGACGCCCAGCCAGGTCGGGTGACCCGCTCAGGGTCACACAGCTGCCAAGCGGCAGAGCTGAGACTGGAAGTCAGGCTCTGGAGTCTATACTCTTTTTTTTTTTTTTTTTTAAAGGTTTTATTTATTTGACAGCGAGAGAGGGAACACAGGCAGGGGGAGTGGGAGAGGGAGAAGCAGGCTCCCCATTGAGCAGGGAGCCCGATGCGGGGCTCGATCCCAGGACTCTGGGATCGTGACCCGAGCCGAAGGCAGACGCTCAATGACTGAGCTACGCAGGCGGCCCTGGAGTCTATACTCTTAACCCTCGAACCGTTACCTCCACAGGACGCGGGAGGCCAGTCACTGCCACCGTCCACGTCTCCAAGGCATTTGTTCAACCTCTTCCGGGCATGAAGCCACACGAGCCACCAAGACCGACCCAACAGAGCGGGGTGTGCGCAGTGGCACGGCCCAGCCTTCCCCACCCTTCCCGAGGCCCGAGGCCCACCTGTCCTCGTACCTGTTGCAGCCGCCTGAGCCGCCGGGCCTCCTCTTCCTGCTTCCGGCGCGCCTCCACCTCCTCCATCTTCCTGGCTGCTGCCTTTTTCTTGGCTTTCTCCTCAGCCAGCCGCTCCTCCTTGGCCTGCAGAGCACACCCCTCCTCACTCAGCCCTGCAGAATGGCCCAGAACTCTGCACCCCCTGCCCCTGCAAACCCGGCTTGTTCCCCATGGCCCAGGGGAGAGGTGCCCAGAAGCCATGGGCCCCCGAGTCTGACCTGCTTGGGGCCCACCAGGGTACAGCCCACCAGCCCGAGGCTCGCACCTTCTCAGTCTTCTCGTCAATCTGAGCAAACTTCTGCTCGATCTGCTTCTTCTTCTCCTCCTTCATCTGCTCCACCCGCTCCCGGGCCTGCAGCACCTTGCGGAGGCGCTCCTCACGCTTCCTGCGGGCACAGGGCAGTCATGGGGAGCCGAGCCGAGGCCGGGCCGGGCCGGGGCCAGGAGCCAGAGCACTTACAGCTTCACCTCCTCCAGCCGCCGCCGCTTGTCTTCCTCTACCTTCTGCCTGCGGAGCAGCTCGGCCTCCTCCTTCCGCCGCAGGTTCTCTAGGCGCTGCCGCTCCTTCTCCTGGGGCGGGGGGGGGGGGGGCAGGGCAGGAGGGGGTTGGGGGGGTGAGCAAGGCCCTGGTGCAGCGGCGGGGGGAGGCCCCCGGGCCCCGGCCAGACTGCTTGAGAGGCAGAGTCACCCCCAAACATGCCTCCCTCCCCAGATTGAGGCCTGGGGGTCGGGGACCGTAAGGCCTCCCAAGTGCCTTTGACTGAACCCTGCCAAGTCAAAGCAGCACAAAAATCAGGCTCAAAATTGGATAAATGTTCTGATTAGAACTATGTTAAAGTGCACTTGGGAAGAGATGGAAGAATGAGACCGGGAAGGGAGAGACAGCTGTAGAAGTTGGGGTTAATGCTCTACACAGGGGGTGGTGGGTACATAAGTGTTCATCTATTAGTACCATGCTCTGTTTATACTATGTGTATACACACACACACACACACACACACACTCTTTTGTGTTTCTCAATATTTTAAAAAAAGTGAAATATGGCCAAGTGCTAACACAGATCACCACAAGCTGGGGAGATGTATTAAGGATGGCCTATTTTCCAAACTCCCTGTGATACAGGTACATGACAATTTTTACAACTTTTTTAAAGTACTAGTTGGTTGTTCAGCAGATCAATGCTGGGCCCCTCCTCCTCCGCATGCCCAGAAGGCCCCAGAGGCACAGCAGTGGACAACCAGAGGGCATAGGTGGGGGCTCCGAGCCCTCCCTGGCCAAGGACAAGACTGGTACTTGCCCCCTGATGGCTAAGGGCATGGACCAGAGCTGCCCCCTCTATCCCCCTCTCCTGGCTCCCATCAGACTCTCACCTCTGGGCTCGGCTGCCCATAGGCCCCTCTCCCTGCATGAGTGACTATCCATTTCCCCTTGGCCTCTGACCTTGACTGCAGATTTCCCACCTAGAAATCTGGCCCCAAGGTAATGTAACCCTAAAGATGCAGAGAAGGGTTTCTCCTGGTTGAGGGTAGACACACTCCACGCAGCCTCTCCCACTGAATGTGCCTATAAAACCCGACTGCACGGAGCAGCTATGTGAGGCCTATGTGAGCAGGCAGAGGGGGAAGATCACGCTTCGAAGCATCACTGAACTGCAGGAAGTTTACCATTATTTTTCCTCTAGTCTAAACTCAATGAGGTCTGAAACCCCAAAGGGACCTGTGGGGTGCACACAGAATCTGCGAAAGGCCCTCTCATTCTGACTCGGGGAGTGGAAAGGGGACGTCTAATGCTCAGAGTATGCAGAAACCCCGATTCTGGTTTGTCCTTTTCTTCCTCCTCTCATGCCCCAGGCCACAAGGAGCCCTGTGGCAGTGGGGACAGCGGCAGTTACAGGAACGTGCAGAGTCAAAACTCTGAGGGGGGAGAAGCTTCCCCTCCACACAGCAGAGCTGTGACCCCAGAAGGCTGTGACAAGGCTTTTGGTCTTCTCTGTGTACCCCACACCAGGTGACCCTGGATGTGGCCATGGAAGCACACAGCAGAGCAGGGTAACTAAAGCCCCAGCTTCCTGGCTGGAGGACGGAGAGGGGGAACCCCAGAGAAGGGAAATGTACAGGATGGAGGGAGAAAACAACACCGTAAGGTTGTCTGTGAATGCCAAGGTGCAGCGCGGGCTGCAGATGCACAGATCTGACCCTAAATATTACACCACAAACTTCGGAGAATTAAACTCACAGACCACCTGCCAGATCCTATCCTGCCCACCGACCAGCACACCCAGGACAGATCCAAAGAGCACAGCAGAGGCTTTGAAATCTGAACATCGGAACCACACCCCACAGAAGGCAGGGGGACACCTGCAGCCTGAACCAAACCCGGTGGGTCGCTGGCAGAGCAAAATACCAACATTCTCTGTAAGATTTAAACACGCAGCCCCCTAACGTGATATTCAAAATGGGCAGGATATAATCCACAGTTCCTGAGCACACAAAGAACCAGGAAAATCTCAGCTCCCAGGTGAAGGCAATCAGCAGCCACCAACACCAAGATGACAGACGTTAGACTTATCTGACAAAGATGTCACAGCTGTTATCATAAAAATGTTTCGACAGTAATCACATTAAGACAATTGGCAAAAAAGAAAATCTCAGCAAAGAGGAGATCTAGAAAAGAGCAAATTGGAAATTTTAGAGCTCAAAATACAGTAACAGAGATAAAAAAATTCAGTGCCTAGGTCCAAGAGCAGAATGGGAAAGACTGGCAGATGTCTGTGAACATGAAGATAAGTCAATAAAATGTATCTGATCCAAACAGACAGAAAAAGCTACTGAAGAGAAATGAACAGAGTCCGAAGGGAGACCCGCAGGAAGGCCCACTGCTGGCAGGGGGTCGTCACCACCCACGATGGAGAGGAAAGAACGCAACACTGAAACAATTTCTTAGCAATAGTGTTTACTCCACATTTGCTAAAAAGTGTGACTCTGCAGGTTCAAGAGGGTCACCCAAGCAGAAGTCGACTCCCACCCCCTGCTCTTCGGTGAGGAAAGCACCTGGGAGGCAAAGCTCCCATGGCACCTGGAGCGCCCACCACCCTCTCTTCCTGCCCCAAGTGCCGACCAGACTCCTGCTTCCCATAGGTCTCAGCAAAACCGGTTTTAGTCCCGGAGTTTGAGTGCTAAAATTTCCCAACCCAGGTCAGGGAAACTATCCTGAGCATTGTGAAATTTTATAGAAGAAAGCAAGAGTTGTCCGAGTCATAGAATCCATGTGTGCCCTCTGCCCCCAAGCCTCCGAGGTGGGCTGGGTTGTCCCTGCTCCCCAGAGGCCACCATCGGGGCCAAGGCAGCAGGTGAGAAAACCAAAAGCTTGTTGGGCTCCTTCTGCCTCCAGGGGCCTCAACCGAGCAGTCTCTCTGTCTTTTACTAAAAACCACCTCATACCAAGCCCTGTGCTGGGTGCTTGGAACACAGGACTCTGGCTCACCCATTTCTATGAAGCGACCTCAATCTCCTTTTGTGGCCAAAGGAAATTCAGCCAAAGGTTAGGCAACTAGTCCAAGGCCCCGAGGTCCCTGTGACCCACTTAGGCCCCCTGTCTCCTAACCGAGAACTGGCCCACCACCCCCAGATGCCCAGTGAGGGATCTGGGCTCCCCAGAGCTGGAAAGGGCAGCTCTCTGGACCTCTCTCTCGGTCATCCCCACGAGGCCTGTCAGGTTCCAGGCCATCCGTGTGGGCCATGGGAGTTCTCTGCAGGAGGAGCAAGTCCAAGTCTGGCTCACTGCCGTGGGCCCAGGTGCCTAGCAGGGGCCTGGCACACAAGTAGGTGTGGAAGTCCACACAGCCTGCTTGCCTGCGCAATGGAAGGCATGCCATCGCCTCGTTCAACCAAAGGGGATCAGCCTCCTTGCAGGACAGGCAAGTTCAGGGCCCACCTGTCTAGCTGCTGAGAAGCCCCGCCAGGCCCCAGGCCCTCAGCCAGAGGCAGAAGCCCTCCTAGTAGGAGGCCCTACAAAGCGCCAGTGGGAACAAAGGAGACCCCAGGAAGCCAAGACCCCAAGCTGAGCCGATCCCGGCTATCTGGGGCTCCTTCCTCAGGGCCCAAGGCCTGGCTCAGCTCTGAGGTACCTGAGGAGAGAACAGCTTCGGCGGCCTTCTCTTCAGAAGCCGCTGTTGACGGTTCCAGTGCTACGCCCACAAGACCCAGCCTTCAGCCCTGGTGTCCCCCCACTGCCCCGCCCCTCACGGCAGTAGCTCCCGTCTGTGCCCCGCTTGAGCTCAGTGGTCTGGGGATCAGAGACAACTTCTCTGTTCTCTTCGCAGCACCCCCCCCCCACAACCCCCGGACCCTGAGTGGGAGGAGCCCAGTGCTGGGGAGCGGGGAGGGAGGTATTGTGGGGAAATTCAAGCTGTGGCCCCGTAAACAGCCGCAGGCCGCACCCCCTCTGCCTCCTCAGCCTTCAGGGAGGCTCTGAGGTCAACGCTCGTCCTCCCGGGAGCAGAGGCAAGGGCAGAGAGGGCAGGCCCTGCAGGGGGAGGACGCCCGGAAGGGCTGGGCGTCTTCAGGCGGTCACCCAGCGCCTCGGGCTCCCCCACCCCCTCGGCTGCACCCCTCCACTTCCCATGTTAGTGCTTCTACGGGCGCTGGTGGGTTTGCAGGAGCAGGGCTAAGCAAGTGAGTGCTAGGGGCAGCTAGGTTACCGGGGCAGGAAAAGGCTTTACTTACAACGAAGCTGCACTGTGGGGGAGAGGAGACAAGGAAAGAGCCAGGAGTTACTGCCAGGCTGGGGGACGCCCTGAAAGCAGGCCCCCCTCCTGGCCATGCCAGCATCAGCTTGGGGCCCCGCAGCCTCTCATCAGTGCTCCCCCCACCACCTCCTCCCATCTTACCAGCCCCCATCCCCAGTGAGCACAGCGTCCACGTGTGTCCCTCACCCTAACTACTCAAGGCCCCGGAGGGGGCGTGGAGAGCGTAGGGACAGACGTCACGGCAGTGGCCAGCTACGCCATTTCTACTGCTTCCCAGCTCAGCGCCCGAGGCCCAGGCGTCACGCTGAGCCGGCCGAGCCTCTAAGCCGCAGTGCGGAGCCCAAGGAGCCAGGACAGTCCTCAAATGTTGAGGCAGCCCGGGGCCATAGAGGATGGAGCTGGCCCTTGACCAGGGCCAGGACACAGCTGCCTTGGCCTAGATCCACGCTACTCCCAGCAGCCGAGGGGACAGGCAGGACAGCTCTAGCCAAGCTTGGCCAGGGGTACGGGCTCCCTCACCTTAGGGTCCACGCGCAGGGGAGTGTTGCGCTTGATGAAGGATTTCATGACACTGCTGCGGGACGCCGAGGTCGGGGTCATGAGCATCTGGTTCCTCTGCACGGTGTGCAGGAAGGTCCGGAGGGGCCGCACCACCTGTGGATGAGCACCACGGTAAGGACTCAGGCGCGGGGCAGGGCACCGAGGGAGGGCAGATGCCCACTCACCTTGCTGGCCGGACAGGGCGGGGAAGGGGTCTTGCTCCTGGGGGCTTGCAGCTCCTCATCCTCCAGCTGCTGCCCCTCGTCCAGCTCACTCACGGCCTGCCTGTAGCTGCGCTTCCTCCTGCCGCAGCAGGGCGAAAGCCGCGTCACAGGGCTGAGCCTAGGGCCCGCCCCGGGGCGCCAACCCCGCCCCATAAAAGGTCACCCTATGAACGAAAGTGGGCGCAGCATAGGGCTCCAGACTAAAAAGCACTGGTGAGGTGGGGTCTCCCTGACCACCCCTCTGCTGCCCAGAGGAAGGGAAGTGACCTGTCCTAGGTCACACAGCCAGGACGATGCAGAGGACGGGGTCTAGGATCTGGTCACCCACTCCCGGACCAGGTTTGTCTCATAGCAGTGAACCAGCTCCTTCAGTCAGCCAGAGTACTAGGGCCCACCCCTGTCGAGAGGAAGCAGAGGCCCCGACCACATGCTCACCCTCCCCGAAAAAGGACTCAAGGTTCAGGCCCCTCTGGGCCCCTCACAAGAGTTGCCCGCACGGCCCTGTCCAGATGCAAACCTGACACTCTGGGGTGGCTCCCTGGGGCCATCTGCTTCGTCAGTCTTGGGCTCTGTGAAGACAGCGATTTTGGTGAGGCGGCAGGGACAGCTTGGAGGGGCCAGCCACCCCACCCCCCCTCACTCCCAGCAGCAGCCGTGGCAGGGGCAAGGCTCCCTTCCTGGCAGACCCCAGGGTGGTCAGTGGCAGAAGCCATCAGCCTCAGCACCGACTGGCCTTGAGAAATCTGGGAACATCCGGAGCCTAGCATGCTATGCCCAGCCCGTGGACCCCTCACCCCCATGCCTGGCGCCTGTGACAAGAACGGCAGGACAATGCTACTGAGGTGACCCCAACCATGGCTCGTCCACCTCTTAACACTGAGACCCAGGGGGGTGAGTACCTTTCAGGAGCAGAAGCCTATGGAAACTGCAAACTCTAACAGACCCTTCACCCAGCTTCGAAACCCCACTCCTCCAGGCCTATCAGCTGGGGCCGGCATGATAGGAGGAGGGAAGGGCTCCCATGCAGGGTCCCCACGTGGGGTGTGGGGTCAGGACATTTTGTTTCACTGCTCAGGGAAAGCACCAATCTCCCCCTCCCGTTTAACACTCTCCTCCAAAGGGACCTCGCAGCTCGCCCGTGGGCTACGGGGCTGGTGTGGCCCTTGTCCCTGACCCCCTTTGAACATGAAGCGGGGAAGCCATGTTCAAAGACCTCACAGCTATCGTGCTCTTCCCGCTGAGAAGACGTGAGCCAGGCCCTGGGACGCCCCTGGCAGCCAGGGGGGTGCCAGAGCCCATAGCTCTCCTGTCTTCTTCACATAGGGAGACCCACAAAGGTGAGAAGTGAGGCGGTGGCAGAGACATAACAAGGCCAGGTGTTCACACCCCAGCGCAGAGCTCCTCCCACTGCCCCCAGGAGAGGGGCTCAAGTCTCTGATCTGGCACATTCGCAGTCAATGCCCCAACTCAGGCCCCCCGCACTCCCCCAGCTTCACACACCGACCAGCCATGGCCATTCACATGGTGCTCGGCAGCAGCTCCAGCCCAAAGCTGGGCGATGAACCCTGCGGACCCAAAGGGGATCGACCACCCCTGGGTGTCATTTACCTCTGGCCAACAGCCCAGGATACGGGCTTCCCTCTCCCCAGACAGGAAGTGCCAAGGCCACCAAGGCCACCAAGGCCAGCACAGCCCTGGTCTCTGTCCACGGCCGGGCAGAAAGACTCACCTTGCTGCCCTTCAGAGGGCGTTTCCTGGCCACCAGCCACAGGCCGCGAGCCAGGTGTGCTAATGGTGATCTTGGTGGCACTGCGGGGCACGTTCTTGGGGACCTGGGGGGAGGAACCAAGGCGCTGGGGTCTCACCCGGGACTCCCAGGCCCTTGAGACCTCCTCTCCCTGGCCCGCTCGCCTTACCTCTGGCTCAGCCGCCTCCACAGGCTCAGCCTTCTCGCTGGGCTTCTGCTCAGGGCTGAAAGCGGACCAAGAGGCATGTGGGACCCGTTCAGCCGGCCTGAGTCCTCCTCACAGGAGCCCCTCCCCCACCCATCAGACACCCTGGCCTGGGTCACAAACCCACAGTGCCAGGCAGGCCAGGACGGCAGCCAGAGCCAGGGGCCTGATTCGGGATGTCAGCCCATTTCCCGGCTGCACCCCAACCCCACATGCCCCGATGAGCCACTGTCTCTTGTCTCTGGTGAGGCCGGCTCTCGATTCACCGAAGGGCCAGCAGGCCCTGTGGATTTGACGACCCATGGAGCCCACACCCCAGGGTAAGCCTTAGGAGACTCACGGCCAGGCCAGGGCTGACACCTGTGTTATCTGCTGCCTGGTTAGAATGGGGTGAGGCTGCAGCAGTTGGCGGTCCCCACCAGGAGGGAAAGCTCGGGCACAGGAAATGCTTCCAGGCCTGGGGCTCACCTGCACAGAATCCATGTGCCCTGCCCAGCCCGGGAAAGGCCCCCAAGTCCTGGAATTGAACTCACCCAACTTTCTGGGGCACCTCCACATTCAGGAGCCTCTCCAGGTAACTGTGACCTGCGGGAAAAACAAACGAACGAATGATGCCTCAGAAACTGGCCAGGTGCCACTCCAAAAGGCCCAGGTGCTGGTTGGGGCTTGGCCACTCTTCACCTGCAGCCGGACCCTCTCCACCTCAGAGACCTCCCTTCACTAGACCCAGGCCCTCTCCACCCAGAGACCCTTCTCACTAACCACAGACCCTCTTCACCTGAGACCCCTCCCTTCACTAGACCCAGGCCCTCTCCACCCAGAGACCCTTCTCACTAACCACAGACCCTCTCCACCTGAGACCCCTCCCTTCACTAGACCCAGGCCCTCTCCACCCCCGAGACCCCTCCCTTCACTGGGTAGAGGCCCTGAGTACATTCTCTCTGCTCCTAACACCCTCAGTAGAGCTGTTGGTTTTACATCTCCCACTACTCCCTAGCTGGCAACCTGCCCATCTGAGGGCACGTCTTGGCTCCTTCACCGGGCTGGGAGTGTCTTGGGAATGTCTAATTCCAGGCCCCCAACATGCAGCATGGGGCCCAACACAAAGCAGCTTATTCATTCAACAATTATTCTTTGAGGGCCTACTATGTACCAGGCCCTGGGGACCCAATGGTGAGCAAAACAGACAGAGCCACAATCTGGTCTATATAACCGTCAAATAATCCTGTGAAAGACATGTGGTATGTGTGACGACAGGAAAGAGCAGAGGATTTTGAAAGACTGTAAGGCGGACAGGAACTGAGCTGGTCTAGGGGCTGAAACGTGAAGGACAAGGTCGCAAAGGGGCAGGGTTGGCAGGGAGAAGGATGTCCAGGCCAGTGGTTCCCAGAGCATACGCTCAGACTCCTGCAAGTCAAGTGCCCAAGACCCTTCCAGGTGGGATCTGTGGAGTCCTGTTTCCATGGCAACACTAAAAGATAATTTTCCCTTTTCGCTGTGCTGGGATTTGCCCTGAAAGTTCAAAAGCAACGCCAGGTGAGACGGCTGGAGGCCGAGGGCCAGACGGAGGTCATGAAGCCAACTGTACGTCACGCTCAGCACAGAGATGTCCAGTTTCACTTAAGAATGTCCTCGATGAAGGAGTAAAAACTATGAATTTTACCAAATCTAAACTTAAGTACATATCTTCCAAATCCTCTGTATGGTAGGGTGGAAAGTTTGCGCAGCGCCCTCTGCTGCACACCCATGTCTCTGGAAAGCGCCCATGTTTGAGTACCCAGCTCAACTAGCCACTCTCTCTCATGGAACTATTTTTAATTGAAAAGGCAACTGGCAAACCATGGCTATTCAATCTTGGATAGCTGGCAGACATTTTCTTAAAAAATGAAGTGAGTCTGTCACTTAATATAAAACAATAAATAATATTTGTTGCCAATAGTTAAAAGAATGAGGCCCCCGTAAAAGAGGCCAAAAACAGAATTTTGAAAAATATGTACACACTACCATGAGCTTCATAGCTTCCCAATACCTAAAGATTTTTCTGATGAGATCAGAAGACAAATGTGCTTTTAAAAAAATGGATGATGAAGGGTGTCGACATTTGGAAGAGGCACATAACTCAGTAACATGGTACTTTCCAAATGATCAACGCACGAGGCTACAAAATCACACATGGCTAAAAGTTCCATTCACAGTGACAGACAGACCAAGGTGGGATCAAGGATGGTTTCCGATTCCACACTGCACTGAGCCTCTAAGAAGCCACGCACAGATTATCTGAAAAAAAAAAAAAATGAGTGTGCGCAATTATCTGGGAAGTCTTTTAAAGTACTCCTCTCTTTTCCAACTACGTATCTGTGTGAGGCCAACTTTTCTTCATATGCTTTAACCCAAACAACATAAGGCAACAGATGGAGTACAGAATCCAGCTGCCTTCCTTAGAGTCACACATTCAAAAGATCTGCAAGATGTAGAAGTGTGCCAGTCTCCTCATTACAGTTTTGTTTTGGAAAAGAGTTGTTTATTTTATTCAAAAAAAAAACAAAAACAAAAAGCTAACATTAATAAGTAATGGGCTTGGTTTTTTTATATCAAAGTATTAAATAATATTCTTAATCTTTTTAAAATCACAGGAATTAATTTGACTACAGAGAATAAAATATTAAATAAAATGAAACATTTTAAATCCCTCAGTTTTAGTTTCTAATACAGTAACTATCAATGGACAGAACCCTCATAAGCTGAAGCTCTTTGGGGCCCTCCATAATTTTTAAGACTGGAAGCAGGTGCTTAGACCGAAAGTTGAGAGCTGCTGGTCTAGGCAGAAGGAAAAGCATCTGCGAAGGCCGTGAGGCAGGAAAGGGCAGGCTTTTCTGAGGTGAAGCTGAGAGGCAGCCAGGGTGAGGCCAGCCAGTGCCCATGGGCGAAGGGAAGGCGGGAAGAAGAACAAAGGGCTGGAGCAGCAAACTGTGAAGCACAGAGAGAAGAGCAGAAGGACGCTGCTTCTGGGGGTGTAGCGGGGCCTGGGGCAGAGCCCGCTTACAGTCACGGGCGGGGCCTGCTCCCACCTGCGGGGGGCCAGTAGCCAGAGTGGCTCCCCTCGTCTCCCATCCCAGCTCAGTCGGTGCTCACTGGGGGAGCAGAGGGATGAGGAGAGGCCACGTGACAGCACAACTCTTCCACCAGCACAAGGACTCCTCTGGAATGTTAAGGGCCATCTCCACACCATTCAGGCCTCAGGCCTGGTGTGGTGGCAGGGAGATGGCGACAGTCCTGGCAGAGGGACGGATGGGCTGTTCCCCAATGCAGAGGTGGCTGGGGGACCCCAAGGAGGAGCCTGGCCCAAAGAGTAGGACCCTCCAAACACCCCGAAGCAGCTTCCACCTAACCACGTCAGAGCCCACTTGCCCGCCAACTGCTGTACCATTTCTTTGCCCAATGGCTCCCTCTGGCCAACGTGCACCAGGCCAGGAGCGCAGGGGATGAATGCCCCCCACCCGGCAGCCCCTTGCCTCAATGCTCCACCTGACTTCCAGGGCCCCCCCAAAGCACCAGGCCCCTTCACTGGCAGGCCTTCCCTGTGTCACTTCCCCAAGACCCCGCTGCAGGTGTTTCCTGCACCTCCAAAATTAACAAGTTGCACTCAAATCCTGACATCAAGGCTGCTTCTGGGGAAACCCAAACTAAGACACCCTCCCTGCCACCCCCCCCCCACTCCAAGTTGCCTGGCCAGCCAAGCCCCAGAGCCTGGGTGTCAGAAAGGCTTCCAGGAAGCCTCTCTCCCTCACTGTTCCATACCCTTGCAGCCCAATTCAGTTCAGGGTAAGCCTGGCCACACCCAGACTGAGCTTCAGGAACACAGGCCTTGGGTCTTATGGTTTAAGACTGACTGAGCTGGTACCCTACCCTAGCATTAAGTTGGGGTCCACATTCAAGGCAGGTGTTACCACCATTTAACGGATGGGAAAACTGAGGTCCTGAGAAGGGTGTGCCCAAGGTCACCAAGGCTCCATGTCTTACTCTCTCCCTCCTTTCCCTCTTCCTTCCACCTCAAGGTGGACGAGCCTTGCGCTCAGAGCGAGACAGACTTGTCTGGAGTCTCTCCCCAACCCTCCCTCTGGAGCTCCAGGCTCACCTGCTCCATCAGACCCCTTCCAAGGATCAGAGTCAAGCCTGAGGTAACCATCAAAGCAAGTCAGACATATCTCAGCCATTCTGCGAATCCAAAAATGGACAGTGTGCCAGGCGCCCGGACTGCATGTCCTTAGGCCCCATGACCTGGAGCAAGTCCTGCCCAAGTCCTTCCCCAGGTGGGGAAGAGACCTGGCAAGGTGAGGTGCCTTTACCTGCCGGACTGAACCCCATTCCGGGGCTCTCCACAAAGCCTCCTCAGCAAGCAGCCCGCCATCCCAGAAAGGCTGAAACATGGGGCTCAAGACCGTTTCCCAATTTTATAGATTTGGTGGCCACCATAAGCTTCAAGTTCCTCCTCTATAAAGTAGGGGAATTCTAACAGTGTTGGTGCAAGGGCCAAATGAGAACTTGGTGTTTCATATATCTGGAAGCGCCAGGCAGAAGTTGACCCCAATTTTAAGACACATTCACTTAAAACCTGGCCCTTCTCCTCCATCAGTCCACTGCTTTGCCGTCCTCTGGCTGGACCCAACAACTATCAAGGGACCACACCCTCCACATCAGTGGGGTCAAGCCCAAGCCCCTTGTGTGGCATATGAGCCCAAGACACCCCATTACTTGCCATGTTATTCCTCTGGGTCTTCATTCAGGCTGTTCCCTGTTAGGGATACCTTTTCCCACATTTTTTCCCTGGGCATCCTTCAAAACCTTCCCATCTCAGACCCCACCTCCTCCAGGCAGCCAGCTCTGATTCTTACAGCTGCCTATCCTCCTCTGTAGCTCATAACAGACAGCTGCTCCCACCAAAACAAAGGTCCGCTGAGCTGGGACCAGATGATGATAAGAATGGCTAATGTCAGAGGCACCTGAGTGGTGCAGTCGGTTAAGCCAACTCTTGGTTTTGGCTCAGGTCGGGATGTGCCCCGCATGGGGCACATCCATACTCAGCACAGAATCTGCTGAAGACTCTCTCCTTCTCTCTCAGCCCCTCCCCACTGCGCACACTCTCTCTCAAATAAATAAATAAATCTTAAAATAAAAACATGGCTAATGTTAACAGGTGAGGCCCACGAAGTTTCCGTAACCTGCTCAAGGTCACAGGGCCGGTAAATGGCTGCGTTCTCTGTCCCTCCAGAACGCGCCTACTGCGGTGAGCATCCCCATCTCTCCCCCTCAGTATCTCCAGACCAGCAGTTGCGCTACCAGGAGGTGGCCTACGAACGTGGTCAGTCTACGTGAGCCTCTGTGGGAAGAAAGTGGAACACGCTGGCCCTGGGTAAAAGATCTGGGTTTGAGCCTCAACATGGTCATTACTCACAGGGACACTGTGGCCAACCTCCCCGGACCTCAGTTTCCTCATTTGTAAAATAAGAGGGTTGGACTAGATTTGCGCTCTCTAGTATGGTAGCCACTAGTTTAAGTCTAAATTAAGTAAAATGTAATAAAACTAAAAATTCAGCTCCTCAACTAGCCGCTTTCTGAGGGCTCAACAGCCACACGGGGCTGGCAGTGGCTACGGTAGGGCACAGCACCGAGAGGGAACATTCACACCGCTGCGGAAAGTTCTAGGGACAGCTCCTTGCTCGATGGCTCCCCAGAGCTCCTCTGGCTGAGGAGGAGGCCCAAGGACCCTCCACGGTGCCCCCACCTGCTGCTGAGCCCCACCCCCGACTCACAGATGATGCGGGCAGAGGCAGCCGGCTCTACAGAGGCTTTCTTGCCAATCCTTCTGCTTGACCTGCGGACAGGTTTCTCCTGTTTGGCCACCAGGGAGTACTTCTGGGCCAGCGAGGGCTGGTGGCCAGGGGAGGACGGCGCAATCAGGCTGCGCCGCACTGACTGCGGGTCCACGCGGGTACCCGTGGGCGTGGAGCAGTTATCCGGCAGGATGGGAGCCAGCACCCGCTCCTGCCATGGGGAGGCCGGAGAGCCTGACAGGTCCTGCGGGCCCGGGGAAGCCTGCGCGATCCTGAGCTTGGAGGCCGACCGGCTTGCTCCGACCCCTTGGCTCTTGGGGTCCTGGGGTGTGGCCATCAGGGAGCTCACGGTAACAGATTGCAGTCTCCCAGCCTCTGGCTTCTTGGGGGTTGATTCCTCCTCCGATATCGAGATGCTGTGGGAGGCGGGGGCTGTGGCTGGAGGGGACGGAGCCAGAGAGGGAGCCTGGGCGGACTCGAGCCGGCCGACGTGCTGCTCGGCATTCTGGCGCTCGCTGACGCTGATCTTCACCACGGGCACCAGCTGGCTCTCGGCCAGGCTGTTTTCAGGCTTCGTGGTCAGTGCTGTGGGGGACTCAGGGCTGGATGAAGGGGCAGCGAACGCCACGGTGGCCGCCGCAGCTGCGGCCGCGGCGCGGGTCATCCGCCGCAGGACAGAGCCGTTCTCCCCCACCACCGTGGCCAGCTTCTCCACCTTGTCCTTGCTGCGCAGATGCCGGGAGCTCAGCTGGCTGCTCCGGGTTTTTCTGCGGGACAACCTACCGGAGGCAACGGAGCAGAAGCTGAGACAACCCAACAAGGCAAGGGGCACCCCAAAATCGAGCAGGGGCACTCATCTTCCCAGGAGCCACTAGCTTGCATGGAGGATGAATCAGAGGGCTTGGAGGTGGAAGACCAAGGCTCTAGTCCAGGCTTGGCCAACCCCCAGCCGAGACCCCTGGCTGCTCCTCTCTGAGCCTCAGCCTCCTTACCTAGAAAGTGAGGTAACGCCAGACCTCACAGAACTGTTGGGAAGATTAAATTCATACAAGCCTCCCGCTGACTGAGATCCCACTGCGCCAAGCATCTTGCTGGAGGCTCTATTCATGCTGTCACTTAATCCACAAGATGGCCCTGAGAGGCAGGGACCATCCTCCTCACCTTAGAGCAAACTGAGGCTCAAAGGTGGAAAATTAACCCAAGGACACCCAACCGAGAAGGGGCAGAGCTAGGGTGTGTGAGCTAGGGACTACCTGACCCCAAGACCCAGCCTCTTTCCCCCCAATACTCTGCAACCCACGGTCATTTTCATGGGCATTATCAAACGCAGCAACAGGGGGAGCCCTGGTCCATACCTCTGGCTCCTTTCACCCAAGCAGTAGGTTGGATTCTCTTTCTTCTCCCACGTCTGGAAATCCTTCCCATTCTCCAAGGCCCAGAACACACACACACACACACACAAACACGCGCACACGTACGCGACACATACACACTCTGCAGTCCATGGTCTTGGGGTCTTGGGTCATGCTTTATTTCCCTGGGACATCTTACCCCTCAGCACGGCCCACATGGTATCCACCACTACTCCTGCTAAGCCTCTGCTCCCCATGAACACCTGCGAATCAACATCTCCTGGCGGGCACCAAGCCTCCACAGAGCCCATCTGCCCAGCTGACCGTCCTCCCACCTTTTCCGGATGGGGTCTCTGTTTTCATCCTGAACATGAGAAACCCGTCTCTTCTTCCGTCGGTTCTTCTGAGAAGGTGTTTTGGGCATCAGCTCAGGCTCCTTGCTGAATTCTCTGTTTGGTACAAGGAGAGTGATGTTCGAAGCTGCCCCCCCGAAATGCCAGCCCACTCCCCCGACCCAGCTGGCCCCACCCCTTTCCTGGCAGTGACAGGTCAAGCTGGGATGACCCGCACCAAGCTCGTGTAGGTCATGTGCAAGGCGCCTGCCAGGCATTCAAGGCTTCCTCCCAGAGACACAGAGCAGAGCAAGGCTACCAAGCAAGCCTCTGCAGCCCCATCCTGAGGATCAGCTCAGCACCACCTCCCCTTCTTCCCAGTATCCTAGGGCAGCCCCCAGCACAGCGGGCACTCTGGAGGAACCCCTGGCAGCCTGTCTTGCGGGTCAGGTAGGGATGTAGGCTGCTGTGCCCCCAAGGCACCTCCTGCCAACATGCTCCCCGCCTTCACCTGGTGAACATGCGCTCGGCCTCCTCCTCGATCTCTTCGAGCCACACCAAGTCTTTATTGTCCACATTGCAGATAAACTCCATGAGCTTCTGGTCACACAGCTCCAGCAGGTGAATGGGCCCTGGGGCTGTCGACCCCATGGTGGCTCTGTCTGGTGAAAGCAGACGAGGGGCACAAGGGTTCAGGTTTAGGGGCTGGGACCTCCTCCTGGGGAAGAGCCTGCTAGGGCACAGCGCCCATGCCCAGCCACAACGGCCCAGTGCCTGAATCAGAGCCCCTTCCTGCTCACAACCACCCCCACAGGTGCAAAGTCCCAAACGCCAATCCACTAACCTCATTTTTGCAAAAAGAAGGGCCCACCCTTCTTGCTCTTCAAACGCCTTCCCAATCGACCCCCCTACCCACAGCCCACTGTCCCCTTAAATCCACACTTCCCAGCCAATTCCGGTAGCAACAGTCCTTACAAATGGCCTTTTCTGGGGCTTAAAACGACAAGACATGGCCAACCGCTTTCCTGGATCAGCACAGGACCCCTCTCTACCTGCCCAGTCACAGGCCTGTGGGCTCTCCTCTTACTACCTGTGGGCGAGCAACGGCTAGACACACCCACCCCGAGCTACACACAAGTTGACCCCCGGCATCAGGCCAAAGAACATCAGCTCCAACTGCTTCTTCAAAAGGCCAGTGAACAGACACTTCTGCATTCCAAAGGAGTTGGTAAAGAAGTAGGGGTTCAGAGACATGCTCCTCTCCGAAGAGCCCCCTACCACCTTCTCCCTTAAACTGAAATGCCCTAGAAGTGGAGGAGAGAGCATGAGAGGCATGGATAAGCAATGTCTTTTTTTTTTTTTTAAAGATTTTATTTAATTGACAGAGAGACAGCGAGAGAGGGAACACAAGCAGGGGGAGTGGGAGAGGGAGAAGCAGGCTCCCCGCAGAGCAGGGAGTCCGACGCAGGACTCGATCCCAGGACCCTGGGATCATGACCTGAGCTGAAGGCAGTCGCTTAACCAACTGAGCCACCCAGGCGCCCAGCAATGTCTTATTTTTAAGAAAATACTAAAAATACAAAACCAATGTCTCTTAATTTCTAAAATAACCCAGCAACTCAGGTATCCTCCTTAAGGCTCAGTTATAAAATCATCATCAAAGCCCCAGGCCAGGAAGAAGTGTTCATCAGGGTCACAGCAGGAGCTCAGTAAATATCCCTACAGGGGAATGAATGAGCGATGGACATCAGCCATCATAACAGACTGCATGTCTCATGCCATCGCAGTGACCCACCACCCTGATCTACACCCCTAAAATCAAGAACCATGCAGAGCTCAGCCTCCCACCGAAGATGGAAGCTCCTGGTTGGGGGCGCCTGGGTGGCACAGTAGGTTAAGCGGGCGGCTCTTGGTTTCGGCTTGGGTCATGAGCTGAGGGTCGCAGAATCGAGTCCCACGTCAGGCTCTGCGCTCAGCTGGGAATCTGCTGGAGTTTCTCTCTCCCTCTGCCCCTCCCCCCGTGCACGCTCTCGCGCGCTCTCTCTCTCTAAAATAAATAAATCTTTAAAAAAAAAGATGGAAGCTCCTGGAAGGAGGGGCTCAGTCACTGATCCCTTGACACCTTATAGAGCTTAACACCAGGTCCTGTTGCACCTTCACAAGACTTCCTGAGGCCTAATTTCCAGGCCTCTGTTCCTCAAGCAAGATCTGCCCTCTATCTGGAAACTTCCTATTTGTACCTGGATCTCAGCAACTCAGGAAGGACCTGACCACCACCATGATCCCATCCATCGATTTCAATTCTCTGCATGGCACTTGGGTAACTGCATATCTGTTTACTTACTGCCTGTCATTGCCCACTAAACATTTGCTCCCTCGGGGCAAGCCCTTGTCTGTCTTGCTTGCAGAGAAAGCCCAGAGCCTGGCACAGTGCCTGGCATAAAGGGAATACTTAATGACTGAATTAATTCATCTGTCAGTTCTATACCTAGAAATAAACATCCTACAAGTACTTCTCCCCCCAGACACACACATAGGGACACCATTCTACACAGGTTAGGGCACGCCATACACACATCCCTCCTAGATGCCAGGAGCAGCACTAATCAGGGTAGGGCCAGTTGGGCAGAGACAGCTCTGAAGCCAGCCAATCACAGCCATGGCCTCTGCTGTCCTCCCTCCCCGCACACCCTCTGTCCCAGAGCTCAGCCCTGGCAAAGTGTGGGACCCCAGTTCCAGGCCAGGAAAGAGAAAATTGTTTAAGGAAGCCAAAACCAAAACAAAAAAGCTCTTCACTGAAGAGCTATAGCAAGCAACAATTTACTATATTTTCTGTGTGTGTTTTTTAAGTATTTGTTCAAAATACAGTTGGTGAGAGCTTCTTTCATGAAGTGCAAAAAAAAAGTGTTTATTTAGGCTTCTTCCTTGGAAAAGTTTTTGTTGTTGTTGTTGCTGTTGTTGTTTTAGAGACCTCAGCTTGGCTATTTAAGAAGGGTCACTGTAAGTTAGAACAGAGGTGACTCTGAGAAAGAAAGGATCAGTGTTATCACAGAGGCTCTGGGAAAGAACAGCAAAAAAATCTCTTCTGCGGGTCTAAGAACCTACGTGCACAAACCCAGGGCACCCAACATCCCACCAAGGGAGAAGAGAGCTCACCTTCCTCTCCCAGTACCTCCCTCACACCACCCACCAGACCAGAGGCCCCACCGGCCTCCTTTGCGATGCCTGTTTTTTGAGGTGTAGGAAGTGGGGCACTTAACCGTCTACCACACCTCAGTGAAGGACGGTCGCGATCATAAATAGCTGCTCTCGCTTACTGAGGCCTGCCTCGATGCTCAGGTGGAGCATCGTTCCATTTAACACTCACCAGGATCTCAAGGATACCCGTGTGCAAATGAGGAAACCGAGGCAAAGAGAAGTTAAGTCAAAGTCACCCAGCAAGTCAGGGGTGGGGCCTGGATTTAAACTGTGCTCCTAACCACAAGCTATGCCGCCGGCTCGATTTCAGTCGCTGAAAGGTGGGCGCCAAGTTTTGGTTCTGGGCACCCGCAGGGAAGGTCACGGCGGCGGGACGGAATTGAACCGCTGACTGAGAAAGTCCTTGGGGAGGGACAAAATGAGGGGCAGCACTGGCCTCCGGAAATGGTCAATTTAAAACGTTGCTAGCTGGTGGGGGAGGTGTTGAGCAAGGGCTAACTGTACAGAAATGCCATCCGGCATAATCCCGGGTTGCTGTGCGCTTCATGCACGTCCAGGTCAACAAAGGGCCTCCTAGCACAAAACAGGGTGCTAGGCACCCGACCCGGCGGGGGCGGGGAGGGGATTATTATTCTTTCGGAATCTGGTGACCTAGGGGGAGGGTAAGGAGTCATCTCAGGCCCCAAGACCAAGGCAGGTCACCTCGCCACTTGGAAGAGGTGGTCCGTCCATTTCCAGGCCGCGGGGCGAAGCGGGGGGGTGTCACGCCCCGGGTCTGGAGTTGGCGGGAGGGTACAGAATCGCCAACCACCCCCAGCCCCGCCGGCCGCCCCGCGCACTCACTCGACTGCACCGCGTCTCCTAAATGCTGCTCCGATCCAAGTCCAGCGGCCTCCCTAGCAGAGCCCCCGGCCGGCCCAAACCCTCGGCTCCGGGTCTCCAGGGCTCACGGGTTCGGAGAAGCAATGGGGCGGTGCAGCGCGGCGAAACCTCCGAAATTTCAAAACTGCAGATTCGACCAATCCCCGGCGAGTTTGTCTGGACGCTACAAGACTCTAGACCAATCAGGTAAGAGAAAGCGCCAGCCCGGCCACCTATTAGCTACGTGGGTTGGCAATCTGCGGGACTAAGAGGAGGGGAAACTTTAACCCGCTCAGCTTCCGGGAGCGGCGGCAGGTGGCCGAGGGAGGAAGTCGCGCTGGGTGAGGAATGCGCGCGCAGGGCCTCTTACGCCGGAACTGCAAGCCCCAGCATGCACTGCGAGGCCCCGCAGGGCGGGGCGGCGTGCGGGGGGGCCTCTGCGGGGTCAAACCTCAGAACCGCGCTTATCGCTGGAGCTTTACGCTTTGCGGTGTCTTAGTCTAGCTTTCTTCTCGATACTGGATGACATCCATCTGCCCTCTGCCGTTTTTTGAGACTTAAAAAGCAAATTCTTTGCAAATCGCGCCAGACTTTGTGTTTCTGCAGAGCCTTCTATCATCTCTTGCGGGGCAGCAGCCTGGGTCCTACCTAGACTGGCCCCCGAGTGTTTCTTTGGAACAGGGTTCTCAACCCCGGATACTTTTGCCCCACCCCCCATTTGGCAGTATACAATTATGCTTTCTTGGGGGCCGGGTGGCGGCGAGGGTCGTCGTGCCACGGCATCTGCTGGGAGAGGCTAGCCATGCTGTTAAACACCGTGTAATGCGTAGGACAGATCCCGCACCCATTCCCCACAAAAAAACTATCCAGCCCCAATTGGCAATATCACCACCGTTGAGAAAGTGCTTTAGTCAGTCACTTTACTCTGTGAGTCAGGGTTGCCGTTACCTGTAAAAGAAAGCGATTAAATCTGGAAGAGGTATTCCTACACCAATGTTCATTGCTGCAGCATTATTCATAATAGCCAAGAGGTGGAGGCAATCTAAATGTTTATTAATTGCTGACTGGATAAAGAAAATGTGGTATACGCATACACTGGGATATTATTCAGCCTTGAAGGAAGAAAATGCTGTCCTCTGCTACAACATGGGTGAATCTTAAGGACATTGTGCCAAGTGAAATGAGCCAGTCACAAAAAGACCAATACTTCATGATTTTGCTTATAAGAGGTATCTAAAGCAGTCAAACTCTTAGACACGGAAAGTAGAGTGGTGGTTGCCAGGGGCTGGGGGAGAGGAGGGAAAAGGGGCATTATTCAATATAGTTTCTGTTTTGCAAGATGGAAAAGTTTTAGGAATCTGTTCCACAACCATGTGCTTATAGTTAACAATGTGCTTATAGTTACTATACTGTAATATGCATTTAAAAATGGTTAAGATGGTAAACTTTATATGTTTTGGTCAAGATTGAAAAAAAAAAAAAAGATGGTTAAGCTGGATCATCTCTCCAGTTCTTGTGTTTCTGTGGCATTGCTTTCTTCTGAACCTCCTCCTATGCCGTCTAGTTCCACTGCCTCCTTCCAAGATGTCCTGCACTGCCCCAGTTTCAACCCCCAAACCATGTTAAAGCAAACTGAGAGATGGGAACATGAAGGAGAGTTTGTGAACAGAGAAAAAAGTCTTGTTCTACTCCACCCAGCCCTAGAGGCCTGTGTCTACCCTGGAACACTGTGGAACACAGGGAGGACCCAAACAGGATAGTAAGAGCAGAACCTTACCTCCAAGCTACCATTTCCTGAACGCCCACTCTGTGACCGTATTTGTTCTGGGCACTCTTCCATGCATTATCTCCCCACAACAGGCTAGAGAGTTTTATCTCCATTTTAACTGATGAAAAAAGAGGTTAAGTAACCGGTCGAGATACCATTAAAGAACTGGAAGCAAGCCTCGTGTCTCCAGAAGAGCTTGCCTCCTCTTTAGGAAGAATTATTTAAGGGCAGATGTGAGAAAAGAGATTTATTTAAATGCCTTCAAATCACAAAAAGACTACCCTGCAAACTTAAAAAAAAAAAAAGAAAGAAAAAAACCGTCCCCTACAAAGTCAGCTTGCCTCTCTTAATTCAATTTTTTTTTTAAATTTTTTAAAAGATTTTATTTATTTATTTGAGAGAGAGAATGAGAGAAAGAGCATGAGAGGGGTGAGGGTCAGAGGGAGAAGCAGACTCCCTGCTGAGCAGGGAGCCCGATGGGGGACTGGATCCCGGGACTCCAGGATCATGACCTGAGCCGAAGGCAGTCACTTAACCAACTGAGCCACCCAGGCGCCCCTCTTAATTCAATTTAATAACTTTTTGCGTGTCCACTGTGTTCCAGACACTGTGCTGAGGACACAGCAGTGAGCCTAGCAAATGTGGCCCTGGTCTCATGGAGTTTACAGTATGGTGGACTATATTTAGATCATTAGAAAGTTGGGAATTAGAGTTGGATTTCTGACAGTGAAATAGAGTAGAAGCCACAGGTAGAGATTAGCGTAAAGAAGCCTAGAATGGAATGTTCTGGAAAGCAATGAGGAAGCCTCCTTCCAGATGAGCACTGCAGCCTCCACTGCCAGATCCTTTGGAGACAAAGGCAGCGCCTGAAATGTGGATTCCCTGTGAGATTAGGAAACCCTCTTAACATCTGCCCCACGGGGGAAACTGGTAGCTCCAGGTCTCCAGAGCATAGACAAAGTCCAGAGGTCTGCAACAATAAATAGTCTTCAAATAGTTTTGTTTTAGCATCCACGAAGACAATTTTAAAACCACATACACCTTTTTTTTCTAAAGATTTTATTTATTTGACAGAGAGACACAGTGAGAGAGGGAACGCAAGCAGGGGGAGTGGGAGAAGAAGCAGGCCTCCAGCTGAGCAGGGAGCCCGATGCGGGGCTCGATCCCAGGACCCTGGGATCATGACCTGAGCTGAAGACCAACGCTTAACGACTGAGCCACCCAGGCACCCCCACATACACATTTTTTAAATTGACCTAATGACATCAAAATGCCATAGCAATTTAATATCTGCCATGACCAGTTTTTCTGTGTATCTTTTTTCTGTATTGAGGTATAATTGAGAAATAAAAATTATATATATTTGAGGTGTACCGCATGACATTTTGATGTATTTACACATTGTGAAATAATCACTACAACCAAACTAATTAACATATGCCTCACCTCACATAATTACTTTTTCTTTTGTTCTTTCTTTCTTTCTTTCTTTTTTTGATGATGAGGACACTTAAGATCCATCCTCTTAGTAAATTTCAAGTACACAATACAGTATTGCTACCTATATTCACATAGCTGTACGTTAGATCTCCAGAACTTAATCATCTTGCATAACTGAAACTTTGTGCTCCTTGAACAACACCTCATCCTTTCTCCCTCCACAAATCCTAGAAACCACCATCCTACTCTCTACTTCTATGAGTTTGCCTATTTTATATTCCATATATAAGTGAGATCATGCAGAATTTGTCCTTCTGTGTCTTTTTATTTCATTTAGTGTAGTGTCCTCTAGATTCATCCATGTTTTTAGAAATGCCTGGACTTCCTTCTTTTATAATAATATTCCATTCTCTATATATACCACATTTTCTTTTTTTTTTTAAGTATTTATTTATTTGAGAGAGAGAACAAGTAGAAAGAGGAGCAGAGGGAAAGGGACAAGCAGACTCCCAGCTGAGCATGGAGCCTTATGTGGGGCTCAACCCCATGACCTTGAGACCATGACCGGAGCCGAAATCAAGAGTCAGACGCTTAAAAGACTTAGCCACTCACGTGCCCCACCACATTTTCTTAAAAAAAAAAAAAATTATTTATATGTTTTTATTTATTTTTTTAAGTAGTCTCTACACCCAACGTGAGCCTTGAACTCATGACCCCAAGATCAAGAGTTGCATGCTCAGGACGCCTGGGTGGCTCAGTCAGTTAAGTGTCTGTCTTCAGCTCAGGTCATGATCCCAGGGTCCTGGGATAGAGTCCCACATCAGGCTCCCTGCTCAGCGGGGAGACTGCTTCTCCCTCTCCCACTGCCCCCTGCTTGTGTTCCCTCTCTCGCTGTGTCTCTTTCTGTCAAATGAATAAAATCTTCCAAAAAAAAAAAAAAAGAGTTGCATGCTCTACCAATTGAGCCCACCAGGCACCCCTATATATACCACATTTTCTTTATCCATTCAATCATCAACAGACATTTAGGTTGTTTCCATATCTTTGCTAAAATTAACTCATAAAGGTGCCCCTTTATGAGTTAATTTTTAAGATAGGGGCCCAGTTTAGGGGCTTAGTGAGTTAAGCATCTGACTCTTGATTGAGCTCCGAGGGGGATCCTGCTTCTCCGTCTCCCTCTGCTCCTCCCCCACACTCATGCTCACGCGCTCTCTCTCTCTCTCTCTCTCAAATAAATAAAATCTTTTTTAAAAAAGATAGGGGCCCAGTTTCATTATTTTGCCTGTGAATATCCCGTTTTCCCAACACCTTTTATTGAGGAAACTATCCTGTCCCCATTGTGCATTCCTGGCACCTTCATCAAAGCTTAGTTGACCATATTTGTGTGGGCTTATTTCTGGGCTCTCTATTCTGTTCCATTGGTCTGTGTGTCTGTTTTCACGCCAGTACCATACTTTCTGATTACTACGGCTCTATGATATATTTTGGAATCAGGAAGTGCGATGCCTCCAACTTTCTTTTGCTCAAGATTGATTTGGGCTATTTGATCTTTTGTGGTTCCATATGAATTTTAGGATTATTTTTCCTATTTCTGTCAAGAATGCCATTGAAATTTGGTAGAAATTGCATTGAACGTGTAGATACTTTCCATAGGACGGACATTTTAACAATATTAAATTTCCCAGTCCATGAACATAGGATATTCTTCCATTTATTGCCTTTTACTTCCTGTCGTCAATGTTTTATAATTTTCAGTGTACCAGTCTTTTACCTCATTGGTTAAGTTTACCCCTAAGCATTTAATTCTCTCTGTTGCTATTGTGAATTGTATTGCTTTCTTTTTTTTTTTTTTTAAGATTTATTTATTTATTTGAAAGAGAGAGAGAGAAAGTAGGGGGGAGGGGCAGAGGGAGCTGGAGCCAGGATCCCAAGCTGACTCCTCA